TGAACATTCTTTGAAATACAAACACACTTTTTGCCTATGCTACGTCAGGGCTGATATTTAATCTTTTTTTTAAAACGTCTTCTTATCTCAATTAAGCAAGTGTCTATCACATGAAGAGCGAATTCCTGTCATCAGTCCGCAGTTCTGAGGGAAAACTTTAAGCTAGGGATTCAAACTTGTTCACAAGTTCGACCTTTCCATCATCCGTTTGCTCCTCTGGCGAACTGGAAATAATCAGACGATGTATTACTCTGACAGGACAGAAGATAAGCGACCATTTGGCCGTCGATGTTGTTCAAAAGTTCCACCAATTTTTGTCTGGAATTTTTTAAGGCAAATAACACCTAGAACTGAAGCAAGCTCTTTCAGCCTGAGTGCTTATAAGGTGGTTTCGATAATTATAATAAGCTGGCTGATAACAATTTTAACATTGCAAATCTACATAATTGGTCACTGAACTATCAATAGTATAAGATCCGCCCCGCAAAAGGGTGGCACAATGAGAAAATAATAATAATAATAATAGCCGTGGCGGTATCATATTCATAGATGGGCTTCGCATATTGGCATATAAAGAGTTGAATCATTAAAAGTATTAAAAGTTGTATTTCGAGGCTCTAATAGTTTTTCACCAAAGACCGTTCGTATCCATTAGTTAATGAAAGGCACATTGATGGATATTCATTAAAATGGCTTTTAAAGAATATGTAGTTGAGAGTTCTTGGAACTCAATCAATTCAATATAAAATTTGCATTTTTTAGAAATATTTAAAATAAAGTGCTAAGAACCCGTATTTTTACACTTTAATTCCTGTTTGAAAATTTGAATGACAGGGAATTTCCTTCGGTTGACTTTGATGGGAACCGTGAAAGTTATTTTGCTTGCCAAAAGTCCCTGGTGCCTAATCATCGGAACGCGATGATACATGCTCAGCCTGGGAACAATAGTCAGAGCAGACAGCCACTTCTAAAGTTAACATTCCTTAAAATGCCACTTTTTTGGAATTTCATGTATAATAAGTTCTCTATTTTCGCATTAAGTATTGTTTCGAGACTACAATTAAATCAGTAATATGAGATGTATTCACCCAATTTCGTTTAAGGTGATGAAGAAGATTGGTAGAAGAAGAATTTTCCCACAATTATATAAGTTGAGCTGACGTTTCCATTCAATTTCACACAGCCTTGCTTTCCCAAAAGTCGTTCTCATCCCGGCTGAGGTGGACTGCATTTTTGACCTCGCATCGGTCTTATCAACACCCTCAGCGGGAGTCGAACCGAACTTTTGGGAAAGCAAGGCTATGTGAAATTGTATAGAAGCGTCAGCTCAACTCATATCATTGTGGGAAAATTCTTCTTCTACCAGTCTCATTTATCACCTTAAACGAAATTGGGTGAATACCTCTCATATTAATAGTTTATCGCCATAATAATGCCTGTGACGGCAAAAGAATTGAAAACTGGGCGCGTTGCTACAAAGGTTTTTGCCCTCAAACCCATACACAAAAGTACACAAGGCCTCAAAAATATTTCATCAAATCTAACCTTTTATGCAGTCACAAGACAGGGTTATATTAAAAAACTATCTTAAAATTTGTTGTTCTATACAAATAAGGTATTTGATTAAAGTCAAATGAGAAATACGAAATTGGCCGGTCCCAAAGTGATTACAGTGTTGATTATTGTAAGCTAGAGCCAAACAAACAAATTTTTCCGAGAAAATGCCTTGCAAAAGTGCAAACTGTTTATGCACTACAACTTAAGCTGACCGCCCTTATCTCTTTCCGCCTCTCCACTCAGAGCATTGGTCAACTTCACTCTTGCATACATTCTGTAAAAGGACACGTTCTAGCGCATGGACCTTAGCGATGAATGGATAAAATAGGTAATAAGTCCACTTTTCCTAGCCCCAAAAACGATGGCTATGGCGAAGCATAAGTTTTACGACTGAGCTACATTATCTGTCGGTATGGCTTTCTTGGAGGTCGTTAGAAGATCATCTAATTATATGTTGATTTCCATGCATAAGATCGAAGAACAAAGATTTGCAATGTAATGTAGGACATAGAGAAGATCTAGATTTATAATCTATTTATTCATTGCATACTCAGCCAACTTTATTGACAGGAACAGTAAAAAAATGTGGTCTTAAGCAGCTACCTATGAATGATAAAATGCAATTAAATTGTGAAAGCCGAAATTTGAATGTTAAGAATTTAGGAAGAAATTTGACTTGAGTTACCACGATTTTGGAAACGGAAAATCCCTAAATGCCAGTACATTTCACTTGGTTGTGAAGACTTTCATTTAGTATGAAGAAATTAGCGGGTAAATATCCCCAGAAAACGACGGCTGCTTCCGGTTGTACTGCCGCCAGTCGGCTTTAACACAACCAAAGGTGAGTCCGTATTCACTCAAAAACGAGAGAAGTTGTCTCGTGGACTGCATCAATCTGAAAGTCGTATTAACGCCAAACGTCTGCAGTACAACCGGAATCAACCGTCGTTTTCTGGTGAGATTGATCCGCAAATCGCTTCATCATGCAGTTGCATACGAGATGAAAGTCTTCACAACAATCTTATCGCACAAGATTATTCGAAACCCGCGCTTTCTTCGTATACACACATTTCATTCGGCCTTGCCTCATCCGGACCAAATTGCCGTTTTTACCTTGTCCGAGCAGCCTCAGGACTTGCGAGTTGATTCGAAAATGCCTCGCATGTGTCATGTGGCGTCAATGTACCATTATGCCACACAATGGCAAGGCAGATGTGAATTTCAAAGTGATGTTTACTAGGCCGCTTCCAATTAAAATTAGTCATGAAACTGGAGTGGTCAGAGCAAACTCATATACACCATCAAATGATGTTCAGATTAAGTGGATTTGTTGACCTCAATTCTTATCTACCAGGACCTTAAGTAAGCTAAAATTATTTAGACGAAGCGTCTCAGTTTCATTTGGCTTTATCGGACTGACAGCGATGCAGTCTACGACAGACATGAGAGAAGATCTGGTACATGAAGAAAAAATGAGTGAAGGCTTGATGATTATTCTATACCTCACTTGGCTCAGCATTCAAGGGTCGAATTCACCTTTAGGGAGCATAGGGTGAGTTGCGTTAGTGTATCCGATCTGACGTAGTCGGAGTGAAGTTTAAGGAAAAAGGTCATTACGTCTTGACGCTCTCTTCTAGTCGCCTAGAGTCATCCAGTTGGTCTCGTAATTATACACAAACATACACATACATATACTTCTAGATTGGTATGACTTAAACGAAACGAATTACCATCCATCACAAAAATTGCATAAGTTCAGGATAGATGTATGCAGTAGGTAGAGAGAATCCGAGGATATTTCTTCACTCGTCAGCTTGAATTGGTCGCATGAATGATACACGAAAGCTTAGCACTTCTTCATGCGAGATCAGCTTTTGAAACTCTTCAGCATACCCGATTTATTTCGAAACGGAAGAATAAACAAAGAGACGCCTCGAAATGCAATTTTTATTCTTCTGAATTGAGCATGAACACAATAGCCATCAGTGCATGACAAAACGAGTCAAAGTTGACAAACTGTGGCATGAAGCATGCTTTTGAAGGCTGCAAACAGAACAGTCGACCTTTTTGCCTCTTAACGTGCAAATCTAAGGCTCGAGACCT